CTTTTCACGTCTTCTGCTTCAAAATTATTTAATGACTCCTTTGTCATATTTAAGTATCGCTTCACATTTTCATACTTTTTAATGAAAAAAAAAAAAAAAAAAAACATTAAATAAATATTCTCAAGATTATTTTTTTTTTCCGAATAGATTTTCTGCTTCCGAATTATAATTTTCCAGAATTCTGCTGTGATCAGACAACGAACTCTTGCAGTTTACACCTGGTTTGCGAAGACTGAGAAGTAAATTCTAGATTCCTTCGCAGAATACAACTATTCTCATTCGACAATCGTGCTCTGGAGATTTCTTTATCAGTATTGATGTTAGATATGCTGAGAAATGAAATCATCTTTCCCTAAAGTAATCCGCTTCTTTGATCGCATTACTCATATTGAAAAGAAAATTAGTCATGAATTGAGAAGAAAACAGTCGTCAAGAAGTCATGAATTCGAAATCACCACATTTTCAAGATTTTTTTAAAAACTAATACCTTTTGTTTTAATAGAAATTATTATCGAATACACATAGAAAAATATTTTATTAACTATAAGTAGCTTTAGCTTAAGTTTTTTTAAGGCTTTAATTAAGAATATTCGGTTAAGAAAATTCAGTATATGTGATATTATTTTAGCACATAAATTTATTATAGAAGATAAAAACACTATTCTAATCTCTTCTTTTTTAAAATTAACATAAAAAAATGATACCAAAAAAGTCTGAAAGCTTTCAGGTGTTATATTACGCCCAAAGGGGCGCTTTAATCATTTAAACGTATACACATGGTTCGCGAGCATTTGAGCTAAAATATTTAAAAACAGCATACCTTTAGAATTTCCGATAGACGGCTGTCGCGCGCTGAAGATAAAAATATTTAATTTCGTCCTGTGTGCTGCCACTGCTCTCTTTGATAATTTTTGACTTTCTTAATAAAAAATTCGTTAAAGTTTAAAAATCTGGAATAGATAACACAGCAAATTCGAAATTCTAGATTCGGGCTTCCAGGTGCAGATATTTCGGTGGAGGATAACATAAGACAAAATTTGATGGATCTAGGTACCGTTGTTTTTTCACAGTGCGAGAAACATACATATATTCCTGCAGATTCTTCATTATTCAATTTTTTTAAATATAAAACAGAGAGATACTATTCGGTGGCAACAATTTGAAAGGTGATACAGACGTTAATAGTGATTCGACACAAAATGCGGTTTCGAGACTAATAACCCTTTTGGGCTAACGCTTTTTTGGGCTAAAAAAGAGAGAAAGAAACATGTGAACATATGCAGTTAATTTTCTGAATTCGTGTATATGATTGCGAAAGTTACTCCAGCAGTGACTCTCCTATTTACTTAGCAAAACAAAAATAAAAAATAATTAGCAGATGAGTAAATAAATCACAAGAACTAAATAACTAAAGCAAAATATGACAACCAAAGATATGAAGTGAGAAGGCGTATTTAGGTGTTTTTCCTATATTTGTGTTTTCAAACACAAATAAAAAATATTAAAAAAAATCTGAAGGCTTTCAGACTTTATTTTACGCCTAAAGAGGCATTTCCCAAGTTGGAGATGAAAATCTTCTTTATTTCGAAAGTTGTTGCTAATCCTCGCTTTGAAATCCTAGCTTTTGTTAATAAAAAATTCAAAGTTTGACGATGAAATAAAAATAGCGTTGCCAAACATTAAGTACATTACTCTTGATTCCAAAAATTCGTGGGAAGCCATTTCGGTTATTGCTATCTTCGTACGACTTTAATCAGCCGAGATATTAATAAAAAACTCTGAAAGCGCTAATTTTAGCACTCATTTTTCCGAGTGGCAACAGTGTCTTGCGTTGAAGATAAAAATGCTCTATTTCGAAAAGTGTTGCTACTGCTCGTTTTCAAATCATAGAGCTTGTTAATCAAAAATTTGTAAATTTTACAAAATTTATACATATAAAGAAGAATGTCTATTTGCGTGTTTGTTTAAGTTCGCGTTATTAAGTATGATCAATTTTTTGCATTAATTAAACAACTAAAATTCAATATATGTGAAATATTGGATGGAACTTGAGTTTGTACGACCATTTGATTAGAAACACGAAATTCATTAAAAACTGCGTGCTATTTTTCCTAATATATAATGAGAGAGAATTAGCTAATTTTTCTACCGAAATTTTTTAATGTGGGTTCCTTTTTTCCCCAGAATGAAAAATATTTGATTATGAATCGTATTTTTATGCAGATTCTTTACTATTTAATTTCTCTAAGTATAATGAAGAGGTCTAATATTTGGTGGCAATAATTTGAAAAGTGATTCAGCCTTTTACAGGGATTCAGTGATAAATCTCGTTTCGAGACTAGAATGTGTTTAGCTCAGGCTAAAAACATGAGAAAGAATTTGGAATTTTACAAAAATTCTTTATGTCTTTGTTAATATAAATGTTGTTTTTACGAAAATACATGTAAATGTTTCACATAACATGTATAATATTTTGTAGAAGTTACAGATAATTTTCTGGTTTTCATAACGCAGCGTGTTCAAAACTAATTTTTCTTTATCATTTTATTTTTAGTACCCTACATATAATTTAATTTTCTCTCGAAACAATGAGTTTAAACATGTTATGTATTTAACACGCAGTTGCAGAATAAGCTGTTAAGTATTTCTGTAGAAATTCGATAAAATCTCTAGCATCGAAAGTGTTCAGTCACTTTTTACATAAACTTGTAAAGATGCGCAGTTTAGTAAAGGCCAAAGACATATTCAGAGATTGCATGCTATTTAGCGTATAAAGAAATACACAAATTTTGCGTAATGAATCTGTACCAGCCTGGTAATTAAAATACAGGTATCTGTTTATTTTTACAGCACTTCATACATTTTACCACCAGCAGAGCAGTACCAATATTTAAACTCAAATACACAAAATATATTTTCTAAAAGTCTGTTTGCATTAAATTTGAACATACTTATATGTATGCATAAAAACAGTACTTATGTTCACGTACATAAGAGCATTATTTCTAATCAGTTTTAGTATTAATGATAGTAACTGTAACTATGTATTTAGCCTACGAAATATTCCAAACCGCAGTGTAACTGATTATGTGCCCAACTCGGTGCTTTCCCAGGCTGTGCTTAACATTAGACATCGGAAATGAAAATCGAAGAGAAAACAATCTTATGCCATGTGCGGAATTTCAAAACACTGCTACAGTAACACATTTAATATATGACGGAATGCCTTCCTATGTTTTTCAATCCTTTATACAGCCCAAAAGCTGACCTATAATACTATTTGGATTGTAGCATGTAAACGAAATCAGCTCCTGAGAGATATGATTTCATAAGATACAGAGTAGTTAAAACATTTCAAAGACTTCAACATGCTGATAAGCAATTTTATCAAGTGGACTAGTTCTGCCGTTGATGAAACAAAGAAAAGCAACGAAAATTAAAATCCACAATTTCAAGAATCAAAGCCACGTTTTTCAGTGATGAACTGTATATAGAGAAAATCTAACAACATTTAAGCAATATAGCAATTTATGACATCTAAGATGGAATTGATATTAATGTCAGCAAGAAAAATTCAATAAAGATATATGTTATCAAAATAATTAAGAACATTGAAAGTTATTAATATTTTAATGCTCTATTGTATATCATACTAGCGGAAGCACCCGATGCCATTAAAGTTAGGGAGAGTAATGCATCTAACAACAGACAGAACGATACCGCTGTCACCCTTCTCTAATAACGATGCAGAAATACGATTCATAGACATGCATTTTTCAGTGTGATGCGATATGGAACCCACATAAAAACATTTCGATAGAAAAATAAACTAATTCTCTCTCATTATATCAGCAACAATGGCACGCAGTTTTGAATGATTTTCGTGTTTCTAATTATGTGGGCGTAAAAGCTCAAGTTCCATCCAATATTCAATTCCATCCATATATTCAATTTTAGTCGATTAAATGTGGCAAAAAATTCATCATAATTGATCAGAAATCAATAAAGCGAACAAACAAACGCACAAACAGACATTCTTCTTTATACGAGTATGTATAGATTTTGTAACACTTAAAAATGTTTTATTAACAAACTCTATGATTTGAAAGCGAGCAGTAGCTACACCTTTCGAAAAAGCATTTTTATCTCCGACGCGCGACTGTTGCCACTCGGAAAAATGAGTGCAAAAGTTAGCGCTTTCAGCGTTTTTAAATTATATTTCGGCTGACTAAAGTCGTACGAAGATGGGAATAGTCGAAATGTCTTCCCACGAATTTTTGGAATCGGGAATAATGTATTTAATGTTTGGCAATGTTATTTTTATTTCATTGTAAAACTTAGAAATATTTTATTAAAAAACTCTAGGATTTGAAAGCGAGCAGTGGCAACAACTTTCGAAAAAAAAAAAAAAAAAAAAAAAAAAAGAACAGATTTTCATCTCCAACTTGCAAGATTGTTGCCACTCGGAAAAATGAGGGCGAAAGTTAACGTTTTTCCAAGATTTTAATTAATATCTTTGATTTTAGTTAAATTTCGTTTTGGAAAAAAGTGGACGTCGACTTTTTCTAGGACCCACAAAAGAATAGTAGGAAGTTTGGTGACGATAGCTATAGTGACAGAGTTATTAGAGGAAAAACAAACAGACTTTCTTCTTTATATATATAGATTAAAGGATAATTAATGTTTTTAATGTTAGTGTCTAATGAATATAGGATTTTGTTTTTAGAAAATGCGAAAATTGTACGAAAACCTAAATCATTTAAATGGGAAATTAAAAAAATAAAGGACCGTGGAAGATGCAACTGGGATAAGGGCCACCTAGACAAACACCTCAGTCACGCCTACAAATTTTAATTCTATCGTCATGAACTAACTGAAAGTATGCACTGACGTTACAATTTCAAACCAATCATAGTTAAAAGTCTTAAGCCAATCAAAGCAATCTACAGAAAATTCTATTTTTGGCAGAAACTTCCCCCATCCCGCAGACTATCTTGATGATGATCACAACCTGCGATCATGAAAGACTTGAGGTATTTAATTCTGTTACTAAATAATTTACAGAAAATATTATAAGTGATAACTGATTTAATTTAAAATTAAAATTGCTATATTAAAGTGTCGTTAAAAATCTAATAAATTTCTAGGGAAATTTTATTTAACTATTTATCTAAACTTGATTCGTAAATAAAAATTCAAATCTGGTAAATCGAATTTCAATTTTCATTCGTAAACGAAAAGCTAGAAACTAAATTTTTTAAGTATTTTGATTAAATAAGATTAAATTTGCTTTACTTCACTCAAATGGGTAATTAATATCAATGTGGTAACTTGATGTTATGTGGTAAATAGGAAAGATGCCTATTTACCAAACAACACCATGCCTTTGAAGAACTACATTAGTATTTTGCAAAAATGCGTAGTTTTATTTACAACTGTTATTCCTATTTAAGAATAACATAATTTTAAACAACATTTAATAACATAATTTTAAAATTAAACTCTAAAACTTCTGTCCTGAAAGCTTCTAACCCTTACACAGATAGTTGAAAATTCAAATCTGGCAAGTAAAATTTATTTCATTTGCAAATGAAATGTTAGAAACTGAAAGTTTTTTTAAAGTATTTTAATTAAATTAGTTTTACATGACTAAAGTGTCTAATTAATGCTAATGTGGTAAATAAGGAAAATTGTAATGTGGTAAATAAGTAGGGAAGATGCTTTTGAAGAACTGGGCATTAGTATTTTACAAGTTGGCGTAGTTGTATTTACAATTGTAATTACTTCTTCAGTAGTAGTTAATTTAATGATAATTAGCAAAGGAGGAAAATAATTTCCAAATATAATGTTAATAGATAATTTTAGAATGATCTAATAACAATATGTTTGGTAAAGACTAGTAAAATTATTATATTTTTTTTATCATCCTACCATAAAACATAATTTTAAAATTAATGTGTAAAAGTCCTTCCCGAAAGTATTTACCCCTTACGCAGATAGTTACTATATGATTTTCCATATGCAAACAAACAAATAACCAAACCAAAACCAATCCTAGCAATGCCTGTAAAACATTATGGCCATGTTACATTATACATATGTGCCTACATATGTATGTACTTTTTGAGTTAACTGTTTTCGTTAAATCTTAATACTTCATCTCACATTTCACTCATCAGTGAGGAAGAATGAAGAATAAGAAATTCAGCGTGAAAAGAGATTCTGACTTGATATGTGGTTTGCCGCACCAAAAGAAAAATATGGAGAAAATCCTAAATTTTCTGGAATCCAAACTGTAATAAATGTTGTAATCTCTCAAAATCTTCCACTCTTGAATCCTCCCAAATCCATCACATAATAATAATAATAAAATGAAAAAAGTAAAAGAGAATTGTTAGTTAATATAGGGTTCCTTTCGAAATCCAACTTTTGTTTTCTTTACGTTTCTCTAAGTTTCCGGAATAACTTTCCTGCCCACGCATAATGATTTAGCTGTGAAATCAAGAAAGAGTCACTAGGTTGGTATTGATTTGTAAAGTTAATTTAAGTCCTACAGCTCTGCTAGACAGGTTAACGAATTTTTGTTATCAGTGGCGTAGCTAGAACTCTTGGGCCCCTGTGCAAAACATTTTCCTGCCCCCCCCCAATAAATTTATTATGCTTACAAAAAGGGGAGAAGAAAGTCTAGATTTGCGGAGATTTTTAAATAAAATCCAGTAAGTTTTACATGCAAGTATATTTCGAGTTTCTATATAAAACCTGCGCTAATCCAAGTTTTGTTTTCGCTTAATTTAGCAAGCTAGTAAATAACTGGTTATGTTATAAACTGACGGACAACATGATAGGTAAACGTACAAAAAAGAAGTTACACTAATATATAGCGCTTTGTGATCAACTGAGCTTACGAACATGACCTTATGCAATAATATACAAGTCATAAATAAGAGCTTTTCTAATGTAAATGATACATTTGTTAAATATAAAACATATTTACCATAAATTTCATAAAGAAAACTATTTGAACATACAATTTTTGTAGAAAATATGTGTGATAAAGTTCTTCCCCCTTTCTTTTAAGAAAACGTTTTGGTACACTAAACTACTGGAATACATGATTTGTATACGTGTTTTAAGTTTATATATGTGAATGTAGTTCAGCAGGACATTCATGGGCCCCTAAGCCTTTGGACTCCTATGCGACTGCATTCCTTGCATACCCTTATTTACGCCCCTGGTTGTTACGTCTAAAATAGTACGACAAAGGTTTCTGAAAATTTCAAATAAACTTTTCTTTATTCAATCTTTAATCTGTAACATAAAAGGTGCGATTTGTGCTACAGACGAGAACAACTACTCATAGCGATTTAAATTTAACAGTATCAGTCAAATAACTTTAAAAACTGATAAAGCATAAAACTATACAGTCGAATTAACTAAGCTATAGGCTGGTTTAATATTTAACCGAAGCGTAAGGTTAATGTATCGGCTGTCAGAAAATGTAAAGCCGAGATAATTACTTTTAGAAAGAGTTTGCAAAATTCTAACAGCGCTACGAGGGTGCCGGCAGCTATGTCACTAAGATTCAAACAGCCTAGATGATATATGATAGAGCACTAAAAGTTATTTGCATTCTGGTGAAGTATTACTGAAGAAAGAAGTTAAAGTAAAGATTAACATCATAATAACTGGTTAGTTTAACACAAAAATCTTACAGATTAACTGAGTAGGTTTTTTTTGCATTTACTATAAAATACAATAAAATAGCGTACAATGTTATAAAAATTTAATTTATCTCTCTCATTATTGTAAAAGATGTAAAATAAACAAATGCAGGAAATAGGCATCTAAACCAGGGTTGCTTAACCAGGATAGGTGACGTCATAGTATCTGGAAGGGGATGCGGTCTGCCTTTTATTTAGCTGTTATGGTGTGGTGTGGTGTATTTAATTATGGCAAAGCACACTAGGGCTATCTGCCTAAGGGGAGGGATGCCTTTCGTGGAGGACTTTCTAAGGGAAACTGGCTCGTATACACGTTACACATTTAGCTGTTATGTATTCCGTTTTAGTTTATGAATGTAAAACATAATTCTGATTAAAACAACTTCTAGAAGTTCTTGTATTTATTAGTTTTAGTTTATGAATGTATTATGGTATTTATCCGTTTTAGTTTATGAATGTAAAACATAATTCTGATTAAAACAACTTCTAGAAGTTCTGGTATTTATTAGTACTTTATACACGTTTTGTTGTTTAACGTAAAAGGCACGTTAAAAACAGTTTAAATAAATGTATACATGAATTTTTCGAGTTTCAAAAGGAGGGGGGGGGCGAAAGGATTTCCTAGCAATGGAGAATGGGGTGCATGGGGCCAAATAGATAGAGAACCCATCATTTAAACCTTCAAAAAAGTTACAGTTTTTTTTAAGAAAATAACAAATTCTGAAAAGCAATTCATTTTGCTATAGAAATTAATACGTTCATCATTCATACAGCATACTAACCTCTTGCATGGCCAAATAGACTAAAACATTTGTTATACAAAAAAATACATAATGATTTTAACGAGTCCTGTTAGTGTCATTTTACGGGCCCAGCTAGCAATTAATAATAAAAGAAATTAAAATCTGTATTAATTGCCTTTAAATCACTTAGTACCTAACACAAAGCTTAGTAACAGACAGCTTAAATTTTAAAAAAAAATTAACTATCTTAATGTCTGCCGAATGGAAACACACCAGCGCGGAGAAGCTAAAAATATACTATTTCGGGCACTGGCCACACATTTCTTTTAAATCGTCCAGTTTGTTGATTAAATATGAAACATAAATATCTAACGCTTTGTCGAATGGCAACATGTTGCTTTAAAATCTCTGAGTTTGCTAATCAACATTTCATAACGTTTGCACAAAATTTAAAATAAATTACTCGTACAAAAAGTAATTCGAAATTCAAATTTGGGCTTCGAGGTGCATATGTTCGGTTGGAAGTCTACGTGTATTCAAAATGTATTCCTCCTTATTTTTCCAGAAAAAACATTGCAGAGACATCAAAATCATTATGTCTTTCATCATAAAAAATTTACAAATCCTCTTATTTTATTAAAGAATTGTTAATTTATTTTTCAAACGCTAGCTAAGACTTTCACTGGATTTAGTGTCTTTTAAATTACACAAACATTGTTAATCTGAAATCAGTCAGAACGCCAAATTTCTTTAAATAATTTAGAAATTTTTATTTATGCTTCTAAAAACTCAGTCTCATCTTTCCCAGCTTCCCTTTCAATTATCCCAAAGCTAAGAACCTCGGTGGTTAGATTTATTTTTTTGTTAACTTTTTTTGTTAAAAGTAGCATTTAAATTTACTACGTTATTTAAATGAATGCTAAGAAAGAACATGCTTTTAATTAAATTTAGATTAATCTGAATTTAAAATGCTATAGAAATGCTTAGAAACACATGCTTTAATTAAATTTAGATTAATCTGAATTTAGATTTACTAGTTAGTGTTTTTATGTAAGAAGAAGAGAAAAATGCTTTAATTAAATTAGATTAATCTGAATTATATTAATACCTTTAGTTAATTGAATGCTAAGAAGAGAAAACGCGTTTTAATTAAATTTAGATTAATCTGAATTTATATTTACTACCGTTAGTTAATTGATGCTAAGAAGAGAAAACGCGCTTTAATTAAATTTAGATTAATCTGAATTTAGATTTACTACTTTTAATAAGTGAATGCTAAGAAGAGAAAACGTACTTTATTTAAATTTAGATTTATCTGAATTTAAATTTTCTACTTTAGTTAAGTGAATATTAAGAAAAGAAAACGTGGTTGAATTAAATTTAGATTAATCTGAATTTAGATTTATTACTTTTAGTAAGTGAATGCTAAGTAGAGAAAACGTGCTCTAATTAAGTTTAGATTAATTTGAGTTTAGCTTTATTACTTTAGTCAAGTGACTAAGAAGAGAAAACATGCTTAGATTTCGTAATATAACTAAAATTAATATGGCTAGTTAAATAGCATATTCT